AGGCATGTAAGCTAACATACCATGTTGCAGCCGCTCCTTTGAAGCGGGAGGCCACCACATCAATCCAGGAACTGTCATTCGGGAACAGATGGCCCGACCGGTTCAGGAACTTTTGTACTCTGACCACGAAATAGGGCAGTTCATCTGGGTTCCCATCAAACGTCTGTAATGGTACCATCAATCAACGAGCCACTTCTCAGTCACGAGGATGACTTTATTAAAAGATGTGTCACTAACAAGATTTCTGTTTAGAATGGCGTGCAATACATCAAGCAGGTAACATGAACAAAGTTCAAACAGACTCTATACCAATGAGATACTTTCCCGCCCGAGAAAACAGCACCAAAGTAATGGGAATCGTAACAGCCTGGAGATTCCAAAACATCGTACTTCCCAGGCTCTGAGCGATAGCAGTAGACATAAGCGTCCTCCCTTATCTCCCACCTGCCCTTGAAGTGTTTATGCGTTTCGCTAACAAGCTTGCCGTTTATGAGCATGCGCAAGGGTCACTCGGCAACAACTATCAACATATGAGTTAATACAGAAAGCAATGCAGGTTAAGAGGTCCTAACATGTGAAGCATATATACAAAGGATCAACCATGACAGCTTGCTGACACCGTGCTGATTTTCCCTATGTGCCTAACAATTCCATCTTTGATTACAGTTTCTGTTAATTTGCCTGGGATAGACATTAGGTTGACTGGCCTGTAATTTCCTGGTTCCCCCTGGATCCCTTTTTAAAAATTGGTGTCTCATTTGCTACTATCCAGTCTTCTGGTACAGCAGCTGAATTTAGTGATAGGTTATATATACGGGTTAGTAGATCAACAATCTCACATCTGCATTCCTTAAGAACTTTCAGGTGTGTGCCATCAGGACCTGGAGACATCGTTTTTTAATTAACCCAGTAGGTCTAGAATTTCATTTCTGGTCACCTCAATTTGGCTCAGTTCTTCAGACTCCCTTCTGAAAAAAGGGACTGTGGCATGGGTACATGCCCCACACTTTCTACAGTGAACACAGAAGCAAAAAAGTAATTGAGCTTCTCTGCCATCTCCCCATCTTCCTTTAGCAATCCCTTGATTCCTTTGCCATCCAAAGGCCCCACTGCTTCTCTGGTGGGTTTCCTGCACCACATATATTTTAAAAAATATTTATTGTTGTCTTGATGCTTATAGCAACCCACTTTTCAAAATATTTTTTGCATGCCTAATTATTATATTACATTTTTTTTCCCCAGAGCCTGTGGTCCCTCCTGTTCAATTCAAGGGGCAGACCTTCCACTTTTAAAAAGATGCCTCTCTACTTTTTATAGTTTCCTTGACTTGCATTGTTAACCACACAGGCCTTCTTTTAGACTTGGCAGTGCCTTTCCTCACCTGTGGAATGCATTCTATTTGGGCTTCGATTAGTGTGGTTTTAAATAGCTTCCAAGCATCCTCTAGGAATTTGACTCTCTTGTGTTTCCCTTTCAGCTTCCTTTTTACTATTCCCCTCATTTTCATAAAGTTCCTTCTTTTGAATTAATGTTACCATTTTGGACTTTAGGGGTAACTTTCCATTGACCTGAATGCTGAACTTTATAGCATTGTGGTCACTGTTCCCAACTTGGTGTAACAACCCCTACTTCTCTCACAAAGTCCTGAGACCCACTCAGAACTAAGTCCAAGATCACTACCCCTCTGGCTGGCTCTGTGACCAGCTCTTCCAGTGCACAGTCATTTATGATGTCTAGGAATCTCATTTGCATGTCTTGACTCGAGCACATGTTTACCCAGTCACTGTCAGGGTAATTGAAGTGTCCCAGGATAATAACATTATCTGTTTTAGTCACCTCCCATATATCCTTCTCCATCTCAAGATTTGCAGTGACAGGGAAATGGAAAATGCCCCCGATGTGGTCGCAGCTTTCATTACACTATTGCATCAGCAAAAGATAAAGTAGTGCTATGCATATGGAAGAATGGGATTATGCATTTGAAGGTGTGGGACTGTGAATTTAGAAGCAGGTTCAAATCTCAGAGTTTCCAATTAAGTTCCAGGGGATAAAGTGGACACAGCAGTGGAATTTTGACTGTTGGGGGAGAAACTAAGCCTCCTCCAACCCAGGGTCACTAGACACAGGGAGCAGCTTTAATTGCCATCTCAGTGATGTCTCCAACTTTTCATTTGCTCATCTAAATGAAAGACTGCCTTTCACATCTATAACTCAGGCTGATGTCTTTCTCTGCTACCTGAGATCCTTTAATGGGATTGAACTCTACTACCACCATTGATATTTATGTACAGTTATTGTACATTTGATGGTTGGTAGCTGAATGGCCCAAGTGACTTTATCATGTGATAAATGTATATGCATGAACTAGTTCCAATAAATCAATTATAGGTATGTATACTTATAGAAATGTTTTAAAAAGGAATAAAACCAAACCTATAGTAGAGAATGATCAGACTAAATATACAACATTGTAAACCTTGCAAGATAACATGAAGCTGAATTTTTGCTACAATTAGGCAGGTCAGGATGAACTTTGACTTCAGCTTTGGAAAGCTAAACTTAGATTTCAGACACTGCCTTCACAAGTTTTTTCTCTGAAGAGGCTGAACAATGGCTTTGTACTGAAACTTCAATAAAGAGCTGGTCTGTTCCCATTTTAGCATAAGCCTTAATCATAAAACCAAGGCGAAACAATTTTCATAAGAGCTTGTCATTATCAAAAACAATTCCATATGAGGGGAACTTCAAAAATATCATTGCAAATCAATTCTAGTAAGCAATTATTTTCTCCTAATCCCATGCTTGTTAAGAGCTCCTTCCTCCTTGTGAGGTATTAACATCCTGCCCTGTTGAATGAGTTGAAATTCAGCTTCTCTGCATTATTTTGCAAAGTATTAAATGTTGTGTTTCTACTAAGATCTTCGTCTTTATTGGAATTTGCACATATTTCTGTAAAGCTGCAAATATAATATGAACACGTCCACTTTTCTATTATATTTGGTGTGCTGCTTATTTTTATGGTCCTCTTTTTCTTTACATGGTTTATTTGGGGGGTTTGTTTTGCCCTTTGTTTCTCTTCTCTGACTCCCTGTGCCAGGTTCTTATTCGACTTCTTTGCCTCCTTGTCCTTCACAGCGTTTTGAAGCATTCTGTTGATGCAACGTATGAGAACCAGGGCCCGAGTCCCGGGTTCCGAATGGAGATGTCCATCTTTTACGTGGTGTATTTCGTCGTCTTCCCTTTCTTCTTTGTCAACATCTTTGTGGCTTTAATCATCATCACCTTCCAGGAGCAGGGTGACAAAGTCATGTCTGAATGCAGCCTAGAGAAGAACGAGGTACTTGTGTGGTCATAAGATTGTAAAATGCTGCCAGGGCTAGCCATGGGGATTCTGGTGTATTCACGTAAGTGAGTCTCTCTAACTGGTTTCCTACAGAATTCAGACTGCCACTTTGTGCCCAAGCTTTGAGGCTTCCACATAGTCATCAAAAATTGTCCCAGTTGTGGATGGTCTAAGACTTCAAAAGCAAAGCCAAGAAATATCTACTAATTATGAAAGGGCAGAATAATGGGAAACCATGTCTGGAATATGTAATGCCTGAGAACACAACACCATTGAATACTAAAGGTAGATTACAACAGAGTAAAATTATCCCAGTATCCACAAGAAATATAAACATATACAAAATGACAAGTGGTGCAGAAAGATCATTTATCTGCACCACTTGTCATTTTGTATATGTTTATATTTCTTGTGGATACTGGGGTAATTTTACTCTGTACAAGCTGTAAGAAAAAGTACAATCATATACAAATTGTAAGACATAGAACAATTATCTGTCTACACTTGACCTTGTACAAACTGTAAAAGATAACACAATCATATACAAATTGTAAGAAATAGAACAGTGATGAGATCCTAGGTACACACTCATGTTTATATTCTCTTAATATCGTCTTCAGAATGCATGGAAAATACATAGATCACATTCATGTATTCCTGAATTCATGGTAATGAGGAGACAATTACAGCAAAATTAATAGTAATGTTGAATACAAAAAGACTATATCTTCGTCATTGGAAATGTCAATTATAATGATGTTATTAAACATTCTGATTAATAATAATAGTAATAACCAACTAAAAGGGCATTTATTTCTGTTACCTTGAAAGTATACAAGTAGCAGTAATTTAAGACATCAGAATGTCAACAAGGGTTACTGCTTACAGCTGTGAATACACTCAATCATACAGTAACAAAAATTAAACTTTGTTGTCTGTATTTAATATTGTAATCTCATGATTGCAAAATAAAATTTAACGCCAACTCTGGAAAGAAACTTTGCACTATTAAACAGATGTGAATTTAAGGTGAGGACCGATTATGATGATTCTTCAGTCTCCACAAACAATATAGAATATGGGAGGGGGTGGAGAACTACAGAGCAAAGCTATACATAAGGCACAGAATTGACAAGGAACAGCTGTCTGCCTCAGAAGACAAGCTGCAAGAGTGGTAGGCTGTAGCTACCCAGTGGGTTCCTAGGGGATTCGACCTGTCCACTCCCTAATGGCCTCACAAGGGAAGTGGAAGGGGGTTGAACATTACCTGCTTGCATCCTCCTCTTTCCTGGAATGAGCCTGTAGCTTGAACTCACCCCCAAGGATGCTGCTCCTTGGTTTTTCAGCCTTGTAGTACACAGTTCACAGGCAAGCCGCACAGAACATGCAGGCCTGGCAGCCAGCCTTCCAGTGCCTGTTAAGAAGTTTCCAGCTCTCATCACTGATTGCTTCACTGTCAGGGTTATCGCTTGATTATAGCTGCACCAACTGCCCTTTCTGGGACTCTTCCCATGGCCCTTTGGCTAGCTTCAGACACAGTCTTCCTGTCCCATTCTGTCTTGGGCAGTGAGGTCCTTGTGCAACAGCAGTCTGTCCCTGAACAACTGCAAAGACAACCTCAATTTGATAACAAGATAGCACCGGGGGCTGTCACCTGATTAGAGAAATCTTAATTGACTAATTATATGTGATTTAGTTGATTTATTTGAATCAACGTTTGTTGTTGTTGTTCAGTCGCACAGTCGAGTCTGACTCTTTGCGACCCCATGGACCAGCTCTCGCCAGGCCCTCCTGTCTTCCGCTGTCCTCTGAAGTTGGCTCAATTTCATGTTCGTTGCGTCGATGACACTGTCCAACCATCTCATCCTTTGCCGTCCCCGTCTTCTTTGACCTTCAATCTTTCCCAGCATCAGGGTCTTCTCCAGTGAGTGCTCCCTTCTCATTTGGTGGCCAAAGTATTTGAGCTTCAGTTTCATTATCTGGCCTTCCAGGGAACAGTCAGGGTTGATTTCTTTGAGGATTGACTGATTTGTTCTTCTTGCAGTCCAAGGGACTCTCAAGAGTCTTCTCCAGCACCATAGTTCAAAAGAATCTATTCTTCGGCGCTCGGCCTTCCTTATAGTCCAACTCTCACAGCCATACATGACTACTGGGAATACCATTGCTTTGACCATGCGGACTTTTGTTGGCAGGGTGATGTCTCTACTTTTTATCATGCTGTTTAGGTTCGCCATCGCTTTCCTCCCAAGGAGCAGGCGTCTTTTAATTTCATGGCTGCAGTCACAGTCTGCGGTGATCTGGGATCCCAGGAACGTGAAGTCTGTCACTACTTCCACGACTTCCCCTTCTATTTGCCAAGGAGTGATGGGGCCGGATGCCATGATCTTAGTTTTTTTGATGTTGAGCTTCAAGCCCACTTTTGCGCTCTCCTCTTTTACTCTGAGCAAGAGGCTCTTTAGATCCTTTTCACTTTCAGCCATTAGAGTGGTATCATCTGCATATCTGAGGTTGTTGATCTTTTCCCCAGCAATCTTAATTCCCGCTTGTGATTCATCCAGGCCAGCATTTCGCATGATGTACTCTGCATATATATTAAATAAGCAAGGTGACAGTATACATCCTTGTCGTACTCCTTTTCCTATGCTGAACCAATCAGTTGTTCCGTATCCGGTTCTAACTGTCGCTTCTTGGCCCTTATACAGGTTTCTCAAGAGACATGTGAGGTGGTCTGGTACTCCCATCTCTTTAAGGACCTGCCATAGTTTGTTGTGATCCACACAGTCAAAAGCTTTAGCATAGTCAATGAAGCAGAAGTAGATATTTTTCTGGTACTCTCTTGCTTTCTCCATAATCCAGCGAATGTTGGCAATATGATCTCTCGTTCCTCTACCTCTTCGAAACCCAGCTTGTACTTCTGGTAGTTCTCTATCCACGTACTGTTGAAGCCTAGCTTGTAGGATCTTGAGCATGACCTTGCTAGCGTGTGATATGAGTGCAATTGTGCGATAGTTTGAACATTCCTTGGCATTGCCCTTCTTTGGGATTGGAATGTATACTGACCTTTTCCAATCCTGTGGCCACTGTTGCGTTTTCCAAATTTGCTGGCAAATGGAGTGCAGCACTTTAACAGCATCATCTTCTAAGACTTTGAATAGCTCAGCTGGGATACCATCACCTCCACTAGCTTTGTTGTTAGCAATGCTTTCTAAGGCCCATTTCACTTCACATTCCAGGATGTCTGGCTCGAGGTCAGTGATTATACCGTCGTGGTTGTCAAGGACATCGAGGTCTTTCTTGTATAGTTCTTCTGTGTATTCTTGCCATCTTTTCCTAATCTCTTCTGCTTCTGTTAGGTCCCTACCGTTTTTGTCCTTTATCATGGCCAGCTTTGCATGGAACGTTCCCTTGATTTCTCCAATTTTCTTGAAAAGATCTCTAGTCCTTCCCATTCTATTGTTTTCTTCTGTTACTTTGCACTGTTCATTCAGGAAGGCCTCCTTATCTCTCCTTGCTGTTCTCTGGAAATCTGCATTCAGTTGGGTAAATCTTTCCTTTTCGCCTTTGCCTTTCGCTTTCCTTCTTTCCTCTGCTATTTGTAAAACCTCATCAGACAGCCACTTTGCTTTCTTGCATTTCTTTTTCTTTGGGATGGTGGTGATTGCTGCCTCCTGTACAATGTCACGAACCTCCGTCCATATCAACGTTGGTTAAGTTTAAATACAGCACTGGCTAGGTAAGGCATGTAATTTGCAGCAGGTGTGATATTAGAAGAAGTATTCCCTCCTGTCCGTGAGAAGGCAGCCAACTACACTTTTTATAAATACTCACATTAAAAATAATTTCAGAATGTGTTGCCCAGTTTATTAGGGTCATTGTTTTAGTTGATCAAATAATTTTATAAATGATGGTTTGAGTGCCAGCACCACAGGTACAGTTGGTAAAACTTGCAAGAGTCTTGGCAATCCACTCTTAATTTGCTAGCCCAAGTGGCTCGACTCAAGTGGTCCTTTGTGTTCTCCTCTGAGAATGGCTTCCGGATGTTATGATTTTCCTAAATGGGAATGACTTCTGGGATACAGGGTTGCCACAAGGGGGGAACTGAGGGTAAAACGTTCCGGGGGCACAGATCAGGGAGCTGGGCAAGTGGCTCCTGGGGGGGTAGTAAAAATGTACCTGTTGTAATCAAACATCTCTTTGTATTATTCTGACTGCATATTTGAGGTGCATAGTGAATATTTGTCTGGGGGCCTTCCATGGCTCATAGTAATCTGAATGTATGAACCCATGTTTATTATATCTTGCAACTCCTCATCTTGTGTATGCACACACACAAAAAAAACAAAAGCCACAATATGGCCCCTGTAGGAAAACCATAGCATCTACAGCTATCCTTTACTTCTGCTTTTATGATTAACCTTGGATGCAGATGGAAAGCATTAGCTGTGAGCAGATCCTTTTCCTATTGCTTCCCCACCCTGTCTTTCTAGAGAGCCTGCATAGACTTCGCCATAAGTGCCAAGCCTCTAACCCGCTACATGCCTCAAAACAAGCAGTCGTTCCAGTACAAGATGTGGAAATTTGTGGTGTCTCCTCCTTTTGAGTACTTTATCATGGCCATGATTGCACTCAACACCATTGTGCTGATGATGAAGGTTAGTGACTTCTTGTTCAGTTTTGTGACTGAGAGAACCATTATGGTGTGGTGGAAGGGAAGCTCTTGTCTCACTAACCTGTTAGTGTTCTTTGAGGGAGTGAACAAACATGTGGACAAGGGGGACCCAACAGATGTTGTTTACCTTGACTTCCAAAAAGCTTTTGAAAAAGTTCCTCATCAAAGGCTCCTAAGTAAGCTCAATAGTCATGGGATAAAAGGACAAGTCTTGGAGTCATAGTAGATAACTCACTGAAAATGTCGAGACGGTGTGCGACTGCGATAAAAAAGGCCAACGATATGCTGGGGATTATTAGGAAGGGAATTTAAAACAAATCAGCCAGTATCATAATGCCCCTGTATAAATCAATGGTGCGACCTCATTTGGAGTACTTCTAGTCACCACACCTCAAAAAGGATATTATAGCATTGGAAAAAGTGCAGAAAAGGGCAATTAGAATGACAAAAGGGTTTGAACACTTTCCCTGTGAAGAAAGGTTAAAATGCTAGGGGCTCTTTAGTTTGGAGAAACGACAGCTGAGGGGTGACATGATCGAGGTTTATAAGATTATGCATGGGATAGAGCAGGTAGAGAAAGAAGTACTTTTCTCCCTTTCTCACAATACAAGAACTCATGGGCATTCAATGAAATTGCTGAGCAGTCAGGTTTGGCACTCAAAAAAATCCAGGATAAAGCTGAAAACGCTGCAAGATAAAAAGGAAAGAGGAGGCTGTGGTTTGCCCAACTGGAATTTGTACTATCAAGCGGCCAGTTTAGGATGGATTAAAGACTGGGTTGAGTTAAAAAATAATAGAAACTTATGCCTAGAAGGTCATGATTTAAGTATGGGTTGGCATGCGTACACTTGGCGTGGTAAAGATAAGATTCACTCTAATTTTAAGAGTCATACATTAAGAGGTGCATCAGCTAATATATGGACGAAGATAAAAGAAAAATTTTATATCAAAACTCCTAAATGGGTTTCTCCGCTAGAAGCCTTCGTTAAACCTTCACTTATTACAAAATTTAACAAAAAACCATATGAAATATTATTAGACAAAGACAATAAACTAAAATAAGAAGAAACGCTTTTTAAGAAACATGATAATAATTTAACCTGGTGGGAAAATACTCAGCTAAAATCTATATACAATAAAGATCTACTAACTGGCTTTTATGAAGAGAAAAGTGAATTAGATAAAATTTGGCTTTCCTCAAATGATAAAATGATACATAAAGTATATAATTTCTTATTAGAGGACTATATGGTAGATGACATTGTTAGACCAAATAAGGTCTGGATCTCTTATCTCTCCTGGATAAGAGACCTAGGACATGGCTTTGAAATGGACGAGTGGTTCAAAGTATGGAAAAGACTTAATCGTATGAGGGCGATTTCATTTAAAGAAAATGTGTTTAAGATAATGCACAGATGGTATTGGCCCCCTGAAAAAATTGCTCAATGTTTCCCAAACTGCTCAAGTAATTGTTGAAAATATGGAAATAATGTTGGCTCCTTTATCCATATGTGGTGGCGATGTGCTAAAGTTAAAAATTATTGGAAGAAAATCCAGAAAATAATAAGAGAGGTACTGCAGGTGGAGTTACCACTTAACCCTGAAATCTACCTGCTAAACATGGTCCCAAAGGAGTTTGATAATAATGAAACTTATGTGATGTTGTATATTTTAACGTCAGCAAGAATCCTTTGGGCCAAATATTGGAAATCGGATAAAATACCTCATAAGAAGGAAATAATATATAAATTACTGGAAGTAGCAGAAATTGATAAATTAAATGTAATACTAGGGGGGAAAGATGAAAATACTTATGAAAAAAGATGGTCCGCATTATATGAGTGGATAGAGAAAGAGCGAGAAAAATAGACTCGAGAATATATGTAATTTTGTATGTTTATTTTATTTTATTGTACAAACCTATAAATAAAATCTTTTAAAAAAAGGTTAGAACGGATAAAAGGAAGTACTTCTTCACCCAAAGAGTGATTAACACATGGAATTCACTGCCACAGGAGGTGGCAGCGGCTACAAGCATGGACAGCTTCAAGAGGGAATTAGTTCTGGTCCATCAGTGGCTATTAGCCACAAGGTATAGATAGGAACTCTCAGTCTGGGGCAAGTGATGCACTGTATTCTTGTATTCTTGGTGCCGGGGGGGGGGGCAACAGTGGGAGGGCTTCTAGTGTCCTGGACCTCCTGATGGCACCTGGTATTTTGGCCATTGTGTGACAGAATGTTGGATTGGGTGGGCCATTGGCCTGATCCAACATTGGCTTCTCTTATGTTCTTATTAAGGGAGTATTGAGTTTGTCCATGGAAAATCCAGTCGCAAATACCCACCCTCCACATCTGTGCTGCAGGTCAATGTGTCACTACTCTGGGCAAGTCACTGACTGTCAGCCTAGCCTTTCCTCATAGGTTGCAATATAATTCACCCTGAACCCTTGGGATAGAAGGAGACATATATCTTAAAATACAATAAAATAAATATAAAATATATAAAATATATATTAAAAAAGTGGACTCTGCTGCTGGGGAGAGGAGATGGACATGAAGCCTCGCATTCTCTTCTTATCTCCTGCATTCTCTCATTCTTAGTTCTGCCTGCATGGCCTCAGATTGGGAGGGGAGAGGGTTAGAACCATACCTTAGGTCTCTCTCCTGGAGGATGATCTTTGAATTTCTCATCTCTGCTGTTTCAGCTCCCCAAATCCCTCTTTTGATCTTGCTTCTTCTGTGTGAAAATCAAATCCATGATTTTGTTTACTTGCATTGAATTTTTCAACAGGACCACAGAGAAAGCCTCCCTGGCTGATGAGCTCCTTATCTTTAGACATAGCTTTACATGCTGCACATACCTCCCCTGTGTGACCCTGGTCCGCTCACATGTTATCCAAGCTTCTTGGCAGAAGTGGCATCCCTGTTGTTGGGGTGATGGAGTCTCATCTCCTTTCCTACTTACATCCATCCTGATGGTGCTTCATCTGCCAGGTGGAGGAGACAATCATAGTATCTTTGAGGCTCCCTCAGTCCCTACTATGCAGCCCAAGCCATGCTATTTGGTGGCTTTTCTGTTTGGGGGTTAGGAAACCCCACACATGGTTGCCAGGTCTCCCACTATATTGGTAGACCTGCTGACAACCCAGCTTGTTACCCACTGGCCTCATGAAGTGCCTGCAGGAGAAAATGGGGGCGAGCACTGGCATCATGCCAGCACACTGAGAAAGTGATGTCATGGAGTGCTTTAGGATTTTCCAAAACTTGATTGTTTTACATACACATCCTGTGATGTCACACTGGCACCATCAGTCCCCACCCCCTAGATGCTTGCGGGATCTTCTGGCTGGTGTCGGGCAACTCTAACCCCACATGAAACAACATTCTCCATAGTAAACTTATGTAAGAGAAGATTTAGAGCGGAAAACTGAAACTGTGCTCCTTCTATTGTAACTGAGAAATAGCCACCCAGCATCTGGTCCATTGATCTGATGCAGCAAGGAGCTTGTGTAGCTTTTTATCATGTGAAAATTCCTTTTATTCCAGGGGCATGGAAGCTGATACCCCCAGTGTAGCTACCCCCACCCCCAGTGTAGACATTGTTATGTCTTACAGTATTTTTAAAAATGATTTTAGTGCACTGTGCCAGCAGTATCAATGTGTTGGATCCCCAAGCATCGAGAATAAATCCACGTTTCAAAGAAAGTAAAGTTTATTTCAAAGCATTGGAAAGATACTCAAACACGTTCTTTGTTAGAACTGACTACAAGCAGTTAGGGCAGACATGATAAAGGGATTCAAGTTAGATACACAACCAATGGATAACGTTCCCGCTGGCGGGCAGGAGAAAACGGTTGCTTGCTCAGGTCCTGGGAACCAGGCGAACAGTAGACATAACACAGGTGCAGTTCACAGGCTTGATAAGTAAGAAGCTAGCAGCGAAGCATACTCTCCCCCTCACATCCTCCAGTTGTTTTACTTTGGCATTACAGCAGGGAAAACACATAGGCCAGCTGGCAGGGACAGGGATCATATATGTACAATCAGAAGTTACACAGAACACCATGGCAGCTTGCTGACATACTGACTCAGCGTCCTGAGTATCGAAGACCTCCCGGAGCCCCCCCTGCACGCCTCCGACATCGCTGCCAAGACGTCCTGCGACCCCCTCCTTGCCCGTGTCTTGGGCTGGGTGGTGAGGGGGTGGCCTGTATCGTTCCCGGGAGCTGACTTCGCACCCTTCAGTACCCGGAAAGATGAGCTGTCGGCGCTGAAGGGGTGCCTTCTGTGGGGGGACCGCGTGGTGGTCCCCAGTGCCCTCCTGGAAGCCCTCCACGAGGCCCACCCAGGGATCGTGAGGATGAAGGCTCTGGCTCGGAGCTATGTATGGTGGCCAGGGATAGATGCGGAGATTGAGTCCTGGGTCCAGAGATGTCACCCCTGCCAGGAGGTCCGGCCCAACCCACCGAGGGCGCCAACGCAAGCATGGGAGTCAACCCGCAAGCCCTGGTCCTGGCTACACGTGGATTTCGCCGGACCATTCCAGGGCCTACTGTTCCTGGTGACGGTGGACTCATATTCCAAGTGGCTGGAGATCAGCCCCGTCTCCACCACCTCGACCAAGGCGGTGATCCGCTCCCTCCACCAGATTTTCGCCACGCACGGCCTGCCGAACACCATCGTTTCCGACAACGGGACCGCCTTCACGTCGGGGCAGTTCCAGGAATTCCTCCGGAAAAACCTGATCCGGCACATCCGATCAGCGCTGTTTCACCCCGCTACCAATGGACAGGCAGAGCGCATGGTGCAGACGGCCAAGGAGGCCCTAAGCTAGATCACAGAAGGAGATTGGGAGTTCCGCTTGGCCCGCTTTCTCTTAACCCAGAGGACGCCCCCCAATCCTGGCACCGGCCACAGCCCGGCGGAGCTCCTGATGGGCCGCCGGCCAACGATGCTGCTTGACCGCCTGCACCCAGACCGAGC